GTGTGTGTGTGTGTGTGTGTGTGACTGTGACAGTGTGTGTGTGTGTGTTTCCTCTCAGATGGACCAATCCTCCGGTGGCCTGTCCGCTCGATCCCTGTGTCTGTATCGTAACTGTAATGAAGCCTTATATTTCAGTCCTGTTGTTTTCAGTGATCTTTTTAATATGTATGTTATCAGCCTTTATGTAGGGATTGAATTGTCAGTTTTGGATGATATCAGAAGCATAAGCTGGAATCATATCCCAGTCTCTCTTTTTTGTTTTTGTAATTTTACATTCTCTAGTCCCTCATGTACAATTAAAGTCATGTTACTATCTTTTTATTGTCCTTTATTTAAATAAATCTTCTGGTCCTGTAATAGAAATAATGTACAGTCTAAGTACTTATGAACTATTTTTATCACAGTATTATTTATTGCTTTCATTTCAATAAAATACTGAAACTTATTTTCCACTGCCAATAAAGATGTCTTTATGAATGGATGATTTTCCTGCATCTTGTTATTCACGATATTCATGTTCATTAGTTGTATGATTAGTGTATTTTAATTGCATGATCTACTGCTCTTCATGTCTTATTTATTTTGATTATTCTGCCTGCATTAGACACTTTTTTTTATTATTATTAACGTAAAATATACTCAAATAAAAAAACATTTTGAGTGAAAGCCAATGACACAAAGGAGTTTTCCGATTGGCTGCAGCTGGGTTCCTGATGGTTAATTAAGCTGATTACAGATAACCTGATGGTCCGTCCTCAGCTGCTCCTCTACGGCTCTCATCCAGCAGCGATGGCGTCAGCTCGTGCGGCTCTCAGGTGAGTGTTCGCAGAGCATCTCATTCCAATCTAATCTTCACAATTCAGTTATTTCAGCACTTTTAAGCATTTAGGTGTAAATTAGCAGCAGACTGTGTTTTCACATGCATCCGTCTGCTCGCAGATCATGTCAATGCTGTTGTGTGTGTGTGTCTCTCTCAGGTCCGCTGTGCTCGCGCTGTGTCTGCTCGGCGTGCTCGCGCTGGAGTGTCATTACTGCCCCCTGCAGGCCGCGGGCACGCGCTGCAACATCACCACGGAGTGCCGCGGGCACGAGCGCTGCTCCGCCGGCTGGAGGCGTTACGGGCGCGTGCACGTGCTCGCCGTCCAGGGCTGCGCGCCCCCGGAGCTCTGCGGCTCGAACCAGACTCTCTCACTGAAGCGCACCGAGTATGAGATCAGCTACACCTGCTGCTGCCGCCATCTCTGCAATACTGCCGCTACACAGAACCTCCTCCAGCAGCTGACCGGCGAGCCCCTCAGTCCCGCGGAGAACAGCTGTCCTGAGGACTGAGACACACACACACACACACTCTCTCACACACACTCACACACACACACACACACGCGCTCATACACACACACACACACACACCGCTGCCCTGAGGACTGAGACACTCACTCACGCTCACACACTCACGCGCTCATACACACACACACACACACAGCTGTCCGGAGACACTCACACACACACTCACGCGCTCATACACACACTCACACACACACGCACACACCGCTGCCCTGAGGACTGAGACACTCACTCGCGCTCACACACACTCACACACACACACTCACGCGCTCATACACACACACACACACAGCTGTCCTGAGGACTGAGACACTCACTCGCGCTCACACACGCTCGCGCACACACACACACTCACGCGCTCATACACACACACCGCTGTCCTGAGGCCCTGAGGACTGAGACACTCACTCGCGCTCACACACGCTCGAGCACACACACACACACACTCACGCGCTCATACACACACACCGCTGTCCTGAGGACTGAGACACTCACTCACACACTCACTCACACGCATGCTCATGTACAGCTGTCCTGAGGACTGAGACATGATGGCTTGTATTAATATCATGAGGATTTTATTAATACCAGCCCAGACTGGCTGCGATGGACTGTCCTTGTATCACTCAAACTGCTCTTCAGTCTGGAAACTGATGAACCTTTGTAAAAAATAAAGCATGTTTTCATCACTTAATGTCTACTTTTTAATGATGAACCCTTTCCTATAGGTTTAGGGCAGCGGTGCTGGACTCCTCAGGGTTTCAGGAGTACTAGAGAGTCACCGACGGCTGAGTTTGGTCCGCTAAACTCTGCAGGAGCTCAAGGGCCAGAGCTGAGGACCTCCCCCAGTCATACCACGTTGGTATTTGGTTAAGTTACGGTTGCGACGTCAAGTGACCGAAATTCAGTGTCCGTGTTAATTTGATGTCAAATACTGACGTCAGCTGGCATTGATATTTTGTTGTGTTGTAAAGTAACCAAAATCCAACATTAAGCCAATATTAAAACACCGATACTGATGTCAACCCGACTTTCATTCTCAACCAAAATGCAGCGTCTGTCCGACTTTGGGGTCCAACATCAACCTGACGTTATATTGACGCCTGCTGGTCTGGTTTAGGAGATCAAGATAATTCAGTTCATTAGTCTTTGCTGACAGATCCTGAACTACATCATGTGGGAAATTATCAAGGTGCATCTATTCAATGTTCACAACTATTGCAAGAAGGTCTGCCTCTAAACTGAACCAGTGTGGCGGAAGCAGATTGTTTGAATGAGATTGTAGAAATTCAGACAATTTGCCAAAACTTATAGTAATAAACAGCCATGAGAGTGAGTGCAGTGAGCATTTCCTTCAGGCTTTGGGTCTGGGGGAAGAAAACCGGGACAATTGCACTAGAGCTGTCAATGTTTGCTTCTGCGTAACATTTTAGTCTTTTAAGAGGTGAATGTTTTAGGTAAACGTTATAAAGAAGAGAATCTGCAGATTCAGATGACATCAGTCCTGCATTGACCCAACTGCAGATCAAATTACAATCCAGAAGTGAAATGCTGAGTTTAATTTGTCCTGTAAATTCTTAGTTTGTACTGAGGTTTACAAACTCTCAGGATGATGGTCATGAACGCCAGTCGTTTCTCTCCTGTATTTAAGTCGTTTCTAAATGGTTAGACTGATGGTTTTACGACTTGTCTCCCTGTGCTTGGTGCCAACTGATGGAAATAATCCTCTAATCTTGACTCAATCTACGCCTGTCAAAATGTGCTTAATTTTCTTTCATTTGTAGTTGAATAAAGACTTGATTTCAGAATCAGCTTCTGCAGAGATCACTGTTCATAAAGATTTAGACAAGAGCAGAATGTCAGGCCTCGTTGCTTGAGATCCAGTCTTGTGCATAGCCTTCATCACATCAGCTTAGACAGCATGCAGTGTGATTGAGCTGATTGGTTAATTAAGCTAATCAAGGCAACAGCTCACACCTGCTTTGATGATGTGTTCATTAAAATCATGCTTGAACTTCCTCTTGAAAAGCTGCTTGCTGCAGTCCAGTGGTGTGGGTTTTCTGGGACGTCATGGAGTTTATGGTGTTGTGTAAAGCTGATCTGCGCTGGATCCCAGGTCTAGTCCTCCTGGTTCTGTGTCTCCGTCCTCCTGCTGTCCTGTGTGAAAACCTCTACTGCTACTACTGTCCTCAGACGTCCTTCAACAGGAGCTGCAGGCACGTTCTGTCGGAGTGCCGCCCGCAGGAGCTCTGCTTCACCGCCCGGGGCCGGTTCGGACACGCACCCGTTCTGTTCTCCAAAGGCTGCATGTCGCAGAGAGACTGCGTCCGATCCAGCAGTCAGATGATCCGCGGGAACAACATCAGCTTCACGTACTCATGCTGCGGCCGTCCTTACTGTAACTCCAGCCGGCGCTTCGACCACAGCCTCGCGCTGCTCACGGTGTCTGCTGTCGCCGCGAGCGTCATGACGGCCCGCTGGACTCTCCTGATGCTGAGCTGAGAGACATGGACCGAGTGCAGGACTCTCCTGATGCCAGGATCTTAACGAGCTGTTTGAAAAGGCCTTTTGTGTCAAGTTCACTTTTAACTGAGCCTCATTAAATCTGTTGATTTTAAATTAACCTTGTCATGCCTGTTTTTGGCAAATAGACTCCTGTGAGGTTTTTCACATCGCTTTATCATTTTTCAATTTGGAAGTAATTTTATTGGCATTGCTTACATACGATACTGCAATTACATTATACACGAAACGGTAACAAATAACAGTTAAAATAAGTGCCAAGTAATTAAAAAAAAGTAAAGGGAACTGGTTACTATATAAAAATACTGAAGTGTTTGTTGCAGTAGTTGGTTTCTGCAGCTGAAAAATGGTTTTTGGCGCAGTTGAAGGGTAACTTGTCTTCCACCAGAAATATCTGCACTAGTTCTGTTACTGAAGAGCTAGAAAACTGTGGCTTATTGTAAGTTTTATGCACCGGTCTATAGCTATGCTTAGGGAAAAATTACACTAATGAAGATCTATTTTTACTATGACCATAAAAAAAAAAAAAGGCTCAAACATGCTCTTAAAAATAAAGACTGTTTTCATGAAGAACCGTGTTCCTTTATAAAGAGCACTTTGTGCATCTGAAAGGTTCTTCATGAAACCATCTACGCCAAAAAATAACTTTATTTTTGAGAGTGTGGAAGAACTGCGAAATTAATCTAAAAATAGTTTTTAAGCCATATGTTTTTCCCCAATCTGATTCATTAGTTAATGTAACTCTGAAGGAACAGAAGACTTGTTGTATCTGAGCTGATGGAGGTCTTCGGCTCGTTAGCAACGTGAATTAAAAGGCAGAAATAGCATTTTTCTTCCTTAATCACCATTCAAAATTAGCTGTGTGTTTTGATGAGACTTTTGTAAACAACAAAAATCACAAATATTTAATATGATTTTTCACAATGAACTGATTTGGTATTTGTTTTCTTACAGGTGGTATTCCTCAGTAATTTGACAGAAATGACAGGTAAGGCATTCCTCACACATTTGCCTCGAATGCTCCTTCATCAGACACAGATCTTCAGAAGTGTTTTTGTCATTAAATGACTGGTCTCTATTGTACGGTGTCCTTCACAAGAGCTGTTCGAGTGTTCACAGCATTTACTCTCTGCTGACTCCGGTTTAGCAGAACTAACAGCAGTACCACACTTACTTTACTGCCAGGAATCTCTGAAACTCTAGCACGTACTTTATCACTGTTGTAATTTCGAGGGGTTCCTGACTCCAGAAAGTTTGAGAACCTCCCATAATGCACCTCAGTGACGACTGTCCAGTGATGAACATCGTCTCTCCAGAAGATCCGTCTGAAGTCACTCACTGCTGAAGGAGCGATTGCTGTAATCGAGAGAGCCGTGTGGAGATCTGTGACACTGCAGTAATGGGTCAAATCATGGAGAAGTGACACAGCCAGCGTTATCATCCTGCCTCGAAAGATCACAAGCCTGTCACTCAGTCTGTCTCAGAGTCTAAAAAGTGAGAAGATGCATTAGTAATTTATTCTTTGAGACCGACGTGTCTGCAATGTTTACTGAGGTTTGTCAAGAATATGCTTTCAGAAGCATGACAACTGTTGACGGGTGAATGAAGAAGGGTCTGCTTTCTGTGTTTCTAGAGCGGGTCATCTGTGTGCTGCTGAGCATTGATCTCTTTCAGCTCGAGACTGTGTCTGTTCCCCGAACCAGCCCCCCCCCCTTATATATACATATTTCTCAGAGCTCTGGTTTGAAGTATAATTCGTTTGAAGTAATGGGGCTTCATATAAACATTATGATCATGAATGATATTTATTCCTTATGATTCTTAAGATAATAGCCTGTCTGATGGTGATATAACTATGAAGAATGATTGGTCGGTTTGTTACAGGGACAGCATTTATAACTATATGACGATGGCGAACCTTCTTTATCATCATTGAAATATCGCCGGCTGTCCTTTGGTGCAGATTGAAGTTCTAATCATGTATTGATTTCTGCTCTCCTGAAGGGGGCAGCAGCATCTGACCTGCTGACCTTTACATTTATTGTTTGAGATGATGACGGATGACTCATTACTGGCCCATTACAGCCCAAACCGGGGCCCTTTCACTGCTGATGGCAAATGATGTGGACAACGGGAGCTGAGTGAGTTTCTGGCGTCCAGCAGCTTGTGTTTGACCCGCTGGAATGAGCGCTAATCAAAGGAAACCAATGCACTCTTCACATGCAGTGCTGGGGAAAGTTACTTTTAAAAGTAATGCATTACAATGTTGTGTTACTCCTTAAAAAGTAACTAATTGCATTTGGAACAAGGGCTGAGGGATCGATGGAAAGCACAGATGTCAAAGGCTCTGTTACAACCTTGAGGTAGAACTTAATGAAGATAAAAATAATTACTGCCCCAAAGCCTTGTCCACCCCCTCCGTTCCCAAGACCAGATCTCCTGACCTAGTTTCCATAATGGAGAGCGATTGCTCTGTCTCCGGCTGAAACTTCATAACAATTAGAACAGAATGACATGTTGTCTTTTATAATGGATGGATAAGTAGACGAAAAGTCAGAAATGTCAAACTCTTGTTGCTCGTTTGTCATAGCAGTCATTTAGTGGCCTAATTTAGATTTTGGACACATGAGGGTCAGACAGCGGCTCCTTCCGGAACAACACGCAGATTATGTGTTTTCTTTTTCTCTCTATCACGATGCATCTCACCTCATAATAATAATAATGGTCTGTAATTATGTATCAGTGTTGGTGTTCGTCAAACAGCACGTCTGCTCGTAATGTAGAGGAGGTGACATTGAATGTGCAGCTTCAGGCAGAATAGTTCACAGTTTAATGGGCAGAATGTGATTTGCGAGTGCTTGACATTGGGCCGGTTTACATTTGTAAGACTCGTGCTTTTTCACTGACTGGAAGAAAGAAATCTGATCATGAATAAAGCAGACGTAAATGCCCTCTGAGATGCATTTGAGACGGATCGGATCAGGAAAACTCGTAAGGTTGTTCAAGCCACATATGTAAATTTTATGGTAAATTGATAATGATGGGAGGAGCCTAATCGTTCAGTCCTGTCAATCAGCGTCTGAAGGGTATATAACAGCAGTCATTGAGCCGTCAAAGTGACAGTTCTTCTGGCATCTCATCTCCTCCTCTATTCGTTATATAGGGGTTTTGTTCGGAGCTCAAGCCGAGTCTTGGGATCAAGCCCCTTCTTTAAGCACAGAAAGCCAAATTCATGATGTTTAGCATGAGTTTTTCAGCCTGGCTCTTAGACACACATCCGCTGGAGCTGAACGTTCAGCGTTTCGTCCTGAAGCTCCAGTTTTCTCATTAACGCTGATGATCACTACAGTTTTTTCTCCCGCCAGCGCTGCCTCCTGATGCGGCTTTGATCTCCAAATCAGCTGACGATAAACAAAATGCAGAACATATCTGTTGATTCTTGTGAAGTGATTTTGCTTATAGTGCAGGATCCGCTTTGAGGAGACACATTTATGCGATAGATAGATGATCGCTTGAGGCTCATGAAGTGTAAATATCCGCATATGCTCATCCTCATATAATTATTCATGCAGTTTTTTAAAGATCATATGTGGGTCTATTGATAGACTGCTTGGTGTAGTTTAAAAAAAAAAAAATTACATTAACATTAATGCATTTGCCAGATGTGTTTATCCAAAGCAACATTTTTCTGAGAATTGAACCCATGACCTTGGTGTCTCCAGCATCATGTTCTAATGCTTGAGCTGCAATCTGTGTGTACTACAACTAAAAGGTGATTAACGAACACTTTAGCATCAGTCAAACTAAACACAGTTAGTGCTAGTCACTGAGTTTGATCCGAGACGCTTGGTTGGTTTGGAATTATTTTTGTTGGTGAAGCAAAAACAGACAAAGCTAGTGTCCAAAATGAATGTATCTCAGTGTCTTGTTTACTGAAGTGTTGCATTACAGTAACATCACACTCGCAGTCGTACTGTCGCTCTGAATCAGCCGCAGGACTGCATGCATGTTTTTGCTCACGCTTCCCCTACCTGTGTCAGCTTCTCATAGCATTTTGATTTCTTGTATAGTTATTTTTAGGTCTATGTTTATGTGAAGGCAAAGGCAAGGCAAGGCAAGTTTATTTATATAGCACATTTCGTCCACAATGGTAATTCAAAGTGCTTTACATAAAAGAAAGTAAAATAATAAGAATAAAACAAGGAATTTAAAAACTTTGAAAATGATTTAAAATTTGATTTAAAACGAATTTAAGACAGTTAAAAATAGAAAATGATTATACATAAAATACAGTG